GATCCTGATCTTCCGCCGGATGCACATTGGTATGTATAGATTAGTTAAAATATATATGTTTTATTATTATAAATTATATTTATTTTAATTAATTTTACTTATATAAATTTCTATATTGTTGTTTTAGGTTCGGCATTCATAGCAAGGTTGGCCGCACGGTTTCTGATATTATTAAGTCCTACTTTGTGGAGCCTCATTGCAATCTCACCCAGCTTTCACAGCATACCATTGACACATGGTTCAAAATATTTGCGGTAAAATCAATTTTTAAAATAATTTGTAGTTTATTAAAATAATTATTTCAATTATTCCGAAATGTAATTATGTGGTTTTTTTGTAGCAACGGTATGACTGGGATGAGAAAGACCATAGCGAGGTGGAGAGACTCTTTACCGAGAGAGTGAAGCTTCGACTTATGGGCACGGTTTCCGATTGGAAAAAATCGTGGAAAGTCATTGGCGATGATGCAAAGCCTATTAGCATGGACCCTGAGGTGTGGAAGGGTTTGGTGCGATATTGGATGATTCCGCATTCGCAGGAGGTTGCGGAAAAGTGTTCTATTTCCCGCAATGCGACTGATACAAACGGTCAGAAGAAGGCTTTTCCTCATACAGCTGGCCAAACACCATTTGGAGGTGTTCGCCTGCAGATGGTATGAAATTATTATTTATATTAGATAATTAATTTATGGTATTTGATATTAATTAATTATAATAACTTTTTTTAGGCTGCCAAGAATGGAGGCGAACTCCCGCCTATGACAGAGGTTTTCGCGAAGTGTCATCGGAAAAAGGATGGTGCATTCGTTTCTGAGAAAGCCGAGCAGCTCTATAATGAAGTTACTTCAAAGGTTGCTGAGCGAGAGACCCAACTATCTCCCGGAGGTTCTTCAGTTCAATCCGGAGGGTTGACTACTCGTGAGATCGATCAAATCTTCGAGGAGGTATATATATTTAATAAATATTATTTATTTATTTATTTTTAATATTTTGATTTCTAATAAAATTTACTTTAAAATGTAGGTCGCTCCGAAAAAGAAGGGAAAAGTTGTAGGGATGGGATCTATTAGAGACGTCCCGAGTGCTTCGTCATCCGCACCACGCCGCCGAGGACCAGAAGATGATCCAGTCGTTCTACGGGCCAAGATTGCAACTTTAGAGGAGTCTCAAAGCGCATATCACCAGGAAGTTCAGGAGGAGCTTTTGGAGTATGATTCCATCTTCGATATCATTGCCCTCTCAATCCCAGAGATGTTGCAAATGCCTTGCGAGCAAAACGTCAAAAACGTGCAGCGGAAAAGGAGGCAAGATTGGCGGCACGGAGAGTGGCGACACAAGCTGCGGGTACTCAAGGAGCATCTACAAGTGGTGGAGCGACACAAGCTGCGGGTACTCAAGGAGCATCTACAAGTGGTGGAGAAGATCAATCACATGCTCCGGTTACTAATCTTGCGGACGATTTTGGAGATTTCGAAATTGATTATGATGCTTAAATATGATTTCTTTTTGTTGTAATAAAAATATTTTGTTTTGTTTTTAATTAAAATAATTTTATTTTCATATTTATTTTTAAATTAATTTATTTAATTTTTAATTATTATTTCAAAAAAATTTGGGTTTAAAAAATAAATAAACATTCGTCCTTAAATCGTTGTAAATTACGACGAATTCAGAACGAAATGTTTACGACGAATTAGGGACGAATCTAGAGTAACGACGACTTAAGGACGATTCTTCTGCCACGAATTTGCAACGAATTGCCGACGAAAGCTTTTCGTCGTTCAATCGTCGTTACATTTACAACGAAGTTACGACGAATGCTTCCCGACGATTTAACGACGATTATTTGTTTCTCGCTAATTAAAAACGATTTTACGACGAATTATCAATTACGACGATCAATATACGACGAACTGGCATTCGTCGTTAAATCGTCGCAAACCTCATTTCACAACGATTTAATGACGAATATGGTCGTTGTGAAATGGGTGATTTCTTGTAGTGATTCGCTTACCTTAGCATATCGTTTATATTATTATTTTTTCCGTTACTTCAATCTGATTTTCACGGTCTTACATCTTTATCAAACTTCCGTCATCATCATCACACAATATCTTATAGATTAAGGATTTCTTTTTTTTTTCTGTTTTTTTTTTATTTTTTAAGATTTTGAAACATGCTAATTAAGGATAATATGTATGTATGCCCTAAATCATGAAATTATAGATAATATGCATTAAGGATATGTATATATGCCCTAAGTTGTGAAACCTTATATATAAAATTTGGCAAACTCTCTCTAGTTGATCACCACGTGGGGGAGAATGTCACGTGTCACATCAAATTCCAAAAAAAAAAATAATAAATAAAATCATCATACATTTCTTGACTCTTTGCTCTGTAATAAAAATGAAAACATATAATTTTTATCGTCAAAAAATTAACCTAAAAGGGTTTGCGGCCGATATCTATCATTTTTTTAGGGGAGGATCTCAGTTTGGAATAGGAATAGGCCTCATATTCTTTTGCGCCGGATGAATGAACATTCTGAGAAGAAAACTTCTTCTCTGATTTTCCATGTTTCTATGTTTAGGCCCAATTCAGGGAAATAACTTCAAGCTTGGCGGCAGCAGGAGGATTGAGGGAATATAGATTGATCAGTTAGCTTCCGTTGTGGGATCTGTTATGACAAAGATTGTGAAAATTAAGCCGTCGCGCAGCTTATACGCCACCTTCTCCGCTGTCGAATGTCCTGAGAAGTTCGACTCTTTGGTAAGCAGATCTCAGCGGCCCATTATCTCCACTGTGGCTGTCTAAGTCCTCTGTACAAATTAAACTACTGGAGAGATCTGATCTAACCCGTATGAAGAGAATGTGAGCGCTTCCATTAATTCACCACGTCTAGGATCAGATCGTTTGTGTGTTATGTTACTGTAGAAAATCCATACCAGGTTCTATTACATCTTATTTCCAGGGGCTTCTAAGTCTACTCCTTTCTTCGTCTCACCACCAAACATCGGCTTATGTGAGTCCATCAAATCTTCTTTCTTGCAGATCAAGTAACCAAGGTGTTCGCTTTTGTCAAATTCCTTTCATGGATGTCACCAATGTCTACTTTGGAATTAAGGGTGGCAGAACATTTTTGTTTCGAAAAAACTTTTAAATCTCAAACAACGACAATTGTTAAATTGTTGGGGTATTATTTTTGACTCACAAATATGTGCTATGCGGATTACAAGTGTTGAATTGCTCACATAACTGATGCAGCAATGTTAACATATGTTTTGTGTTCTTGGTTAGGAATGTTACTATGATTTAATGAAAGATCAACAGATTCTAAGAAAATTCATAGGGATTCCCTTTAACATTTGAAAATAGAAGTGTTAGTGGTTGAATTTGTGGTTAGGTTTTCCAAAGTATTATGTGCAGGTTTTGTTGTCTTAAGATTTGGACCACTTAGAGCTAACAACTTGTCATATGTGGTTACATCACGAGTTAGTATGCTCTTCGGCCGATGGATGGAGACAAATGGTTTACTAATTATTTCAAATTGTATTATTTAGTATTGTAACTGGTTAGGTAGTTAATAGCAAAGAGTATTGGATTTCAAATAAGCAAATACAATATCAAATATGTATGGTTTTGTCGTTAACAAAATTTATGCCAAGAAAACTTGCACGTATGCGCAGATATTAATCTAGTTATGGATAATATGCATTAATGATATAATATTATTGTATATCCTATATAAGTTGTGGAATCTATAATTAAAATCTCTGAGTTTATTTGACTGATCTAACTTATTTTTCTTGAAGATATATGCGACTTGGTCCGGTGGTGCACCATAGTGCCGTGCCTTATGAACAAAAAATTAGGCAATGGTCTTAGGTCACATCAAAATTAACAAAATTATAGGACCATTTTAATTTTAAATATAGGCTTATGTATATAATTTAATATATATATTTAGTTTATTTGTTTGAAAAATTCTATAATATTAAACATTTTATTATTATAAGAGAAACTAAATAGTCTGATTATCATATCTATAGGAAAATCTGATAAATGTTTTTGTAAGAAAAGTGAGAAAATTTGTAATTTAGAATTTTCTATAATATCATTATTTTTGTATGTTTCATTTCAATATTATAACTTTAAAAGTATTTCTTTTTTTATAATAAAAACTATATTTTTAAATTTGTCTTAGGCCTCTATAAACCTAAGAACGGACAGCACCAGCAGGCGAGTAATTATACTTTAAAAAAAAATCTAAATTATGTTTCTTTTGTTAATTTTGTTTAAGAAGGGATCTATGTCAAAAATGATGTATCTATGTCAAATGAGTTAAAAACACATATCCAATAAATGTAAGTATCTAAATTTCTTTTTAATTATTAATTCAAATAAGCAATCCATCCCTAATCATAGAATATCTCATAACAATTTATAATCATATAATATATCATAACAATCCATAATCATAACGCCTTTCTGTAGCTTTTGTACGTTTACAAAACATATACTTTGATTAGATATTCTTCCATCTAAAAAGAAGAAATCCTTACTTGTACATCAATGAACCAAAGACAGATGACCTCTATGAAAAAAAAGAAATAAACAAAACTGTAACAGTTTAAACTAAATTGACATAACATTTTGTTGTAGTTAGAAAAAAAAAAGGACATATCAGTTTTAGTCAGGTCACAATAATAAACGGGCTTATATATGGGCTCATTTAGATGACGGGCTTTAATATAGAACAGAATCGATGAGCCATCTTGGATTTTATTATTACATAAATAGCAAAGTCGGGTCTAGATACAAACATAAGCGACAAAATAGGTCCGAAAATAAAATTATTTAAAAACAAATTTAATTTGATATTCAACGAGAGAAACAATCGAAAGAGAGAGAAACCCGAGTCCTGAAATCAAACTCCCTCGATTTTCCCGAAAACCCACCAAAGAAAAAAAAGAAAAAAAAAAAAATGAGCACCTGACAATTCACCAAACTCTCAAAAACTTTTAATTAAATTTTTTTTTCTTCATACTCTCAATCAAATCGCAATTCAATCAACACTATCAATTTTCTTTTATTTATTCCTAAAAAATTACGGAAGAAAAACCAAAAGAAAAGAAAAAGAAAAGGAAAATTAATTTTTGTGTGTGATGATGGAAACGAATAGTCAGACAAGCACTGTTGGTGTTGTTCGTTCGATTGCTGTTCTTCTTCGTGATTTCTTCTTCTTTTTATTTCTTTTAATATATAATTTTTTTTTCTCTCGGGGTTTATTAATGATCTTGTCGATATTGCTCTCTCCGTTGTTAATAATGTTTAATGTTTTTGATTTTATTTGCGAAATTCCCAATCACATTCGTAGTAGTCTCGTAGAGAGAGAAAGTTTTTCTTTTTGGTTTTTTTGGTGGATTTTTATTCTTCTTTACTTCTTCTCTTTATTTTCCTCGTCAAACCAAAAATCCAACGGTGTTCGTGATGCTGTTTCTTCCTCCTCTCTTCAGAGAAAAACCCAGAAAAACCATTCCTTTGATTCCTCCTTTCCCCCACGAATTTTACTCCTCTGCTCAAGCTTTTTGATCTATCTTGTTCATTGAAGTTTAACAAAGTAAGTTTTTTTTTCCTCCCAAATCGATTCACAAGTGTTTGTGATTCTAGGGTTTCGATTTTTTTCTAATTCCTGATTTGGGGATTTCACTGTGTAGAAAAATGGAAGGTGTGTGTGAAGAAGCAGAGAAGAACAAAACACCTGAAGGTGCTGAGAGTAAGTCTAAACGGAAAATGAAAACAGCTGCTCAGCTTGAAGTTCTTGAAAATACTTACGCAGGTTTGTTTGTGTTTTTGTTTTTGTTTTGTGTTTACTTCATTGTTCTTAATTTGTTGTTATATCAGTGAGTTTTGTGTTTAATTTCACTATAATGTTTGCTTAATTTTGCAGCTGAGCCTTATCCTTCGGAAGCAATAAGAGCGGATCTCTCAGTCAAACTAAATCTCTCCGATAGGCAGTTACAGATGTGGTTCTGTCACCGGCGGCTTAAAGACCGGAAATCCACAACTCCGAGCAAACGCCAGCGTAAAGAGCCGCCGGCGTCGTCAACGGCGGTTGAATCCTCTATACCAGCCGTCAATGCCGGTGATTTGGTGGCGGGAAATGAGCATAACTCGTTTGGTCACGAGCTTGATTCCAGAAGAACCCCGCGAGGCGGTGGTGGTGGTGGTTTAACGGTGGTTAGGCGGTTTAGTGAACCGTCTTCCGCCGAGGTTAGAGCCGTTGGTTATGTGGAAGCTCAATTAGGAGAGCGCTTGAGAGATAACGGACCGATTCTTGGAATGGAGTTTGATCCTTTGCCTCCTGGTGCATTTGGTATGCCTATAGGTATATACTACATTCTGCTTCTTACCATGGAGCTGCTTAGAATCAATAGAAATGTTTGAAAATTGTTTTTTTTAATAATCTTGTTTGGTGTGAAGCAGAGTTGCCAAGCCATAGGAAGGCGGCTAGGCAAGCTTTTGAGACCAACATATATGTCCGGTCTGATGTCAAGCCAGTTAAAGTTAGTTTTTGTCCATTAGCTTTGTCTCATGATTTGTGCTGTTTTTGTCGTTCTTGTTCGTTCTTGACAAATTTGTTTATCTTCCCATTTTTAGGAGTCTGTGAGGACCATTCGTGAATATCAGTTCCTTCCTGAACAACCATCTTCAAAGACTGATCATTCAGAAAGAGCTTCTCCTTCGCACCATTTTGGAGTTCCACTTGATGCTTCGGTTTTGAGGGCTTCATCAGTGTCTGCTGGACATCGTGATGACTATAAAGTTTCACCGAGGATACCAAACTTGAATCTTTCAACTCATCAGGGGAAACACGTCTTTTCGCCTAATTTGGGAGAATATGACTCACCGTATCAGAAACCCTACGTGGATACTGGAAACTTAAATCATGAGGATCCATTTATACAATCAGAGAGAGAAGTTGGTAATGATGATGATGATGGTGAGGATGATGTTATGCAACTGGAGAGAAAACGCAAGGTATGGTAAAGAATTACTTGTGCATTTACATTGTTTTATTATCACTGAGTTCTTCCTCATCGGTTTTTTATACATACTCATTGTAGAGTGAAGAAGCAAGAATATCTCGGGAAGTCGAGGCTCATGAGAAGAGGATCCGAAAAGAGCTTGAAAAACAAGATATGCTGAGACGAAAGGTCTTGCTCGGTTTAAGCTAAGCACATACTTTACTAGATGTTTTTGCTGTTTCTTTTCCTCAGTGTGTAAGTTGATTATGTAGAGAGAGGAGCAAATGAGGAAAGAAATGGAGAGACAAGACCGTGAAAGACGGAAAGAGGAAGAACGGCTTTTACGTGAAAGGCAGAGAGAGGAAGAGAGATACCTCAAAGAGCAGTTGCGAGAGAGGCAGCGCAGAGAGAAGTTCTTGAAGAAAGAAACAATCAGGGTAATGTGACATATGCGCTACCTTTTACATTTCTTGAGAACTTGGGGTGAAATGTTGTTTTCCTCATTGGCAATCTCTCAAATGTGGATTAGGCTGAGAAAATGCGGCAAAAAGAAGAGATGCGTAGGGTAAAAGAGGTTGCTAGGCTTAAAGCTGCTAATGAGAGGGCCATTGCTCGTAAGATCGCAAAGGAGTCTATGGAACTTATTGAAGACGAGCGATTAGAACTCATGGAGGTCGCTGCACTAACCAAAGGATTGCCTTCAATGCTCGCTCTTGACTTTGAAACTTTACAGAACCTCGAGGCATATAAAGGTGAATCACTGTTTTTTTTAAAAAAAAAAAAACTCGTCAACATTTAGTTTTTTCAGCTGTTTTATGGGAGTTGTGTCTTATATCCATCTGATGGAGTATATTCTTTCAGATAAGAAGGTGATATTTCCCCCAACATCTGTAAAATTGAAAAAGCCTTTTGCTGTCAAACCATGGAATGGTTCTGATGAGAATGTTGCAAATCTTCTTATGGTGAGTGTTTCCATCTAATTTATCCTTATTTTTTCATTCTTAATGTGAATATCAGTAACAAATGTTTTGATTTGGTTGAAAACATTTAGGTGTGGAGATTCTTAATCACTTTTGCGGATGTTCTTGGCCTTTGGCCATTTACTCTGGATGAGTTTACTCAATCATTTCATGACTATGTAAGTGTTCCTCTCTTTCTAGTATCTCTGCATTCAGATCTAAACAAGATTTGCTTTTCTCAGCTTTATACCTTGTTGGTCATGTAGGACCCACGGCTAATGGGAGAGATACACATTGTTCTTTTGAAGACTATAATCAAAGATATTGAAGGTGTTGCAAGAACAATATCAATGGGCGTTGGAGCAAACCAGAACGCTGCAGCTAATCCCGGAGGTGGTCATCCCCATGTCGTGGAGGGTGTAAGTTTTATTCCTTTTTAGTATGATTTCGATTATAATGTAAGGTATCTCTCCTATTCCTCCTATTGTTTAGTATGATGCAATTTTGTATTTTAGGCATATGCTTGGGGTTTTGATATACGCAACTGGAGAAGAAACTTGAATGTTTTTACTTGGCCTGAAATCTTGAGGCAACTCGCTCTCTCTGCTGGGTTAGGACCACAACTGAAGAAACCAGACATTAAAACCATGTCTGTTCATGATGACAACGAGGTGTGTAAATCTGTGTTTTCTGCTATTTCGTTTTTTTTTTATAATGTTGTGCGACTTCTATTTACCTTATTTTCTCTCAAGTGTAGGCCAACAACTCTGAGAATGTGATTTTCAACTTAAGGGTTGGAGTAGCAGCTGAGAATGCTTTTGCCAAGATGCAAGAAAGAGGTCTTTCTAATCCGCGACGTTCACGGCATCGTTTGACTCCAGGCACAGTTAAATTTGCTGCCTTTCATGTTCTGTCTATTGAAGGCGAAAAGGGTTTGACAATTCTCGATGTTGCAGATAAGATTCAGGTAAAAAAAGATGGTCTAAAATATTGTTTTTCTCTTGAAGCTTATTTAAGCAGCTTATGTTTCATTTCTCGCTTTCTTTCATATTGATTATAGAAATCAGGATTGAGGGATCTAACGACGAGCAGGACACCTGAAGCCTCGGTTGCTGCTGCGTTGTCTCGGGATTCGAAACTCTTTGAGAGAGTAGCTCCTTCTACTTACTGTGTGCGTGCTTCCTATAGAAAAGATGTAGGTGATGCTGAGACTATATTCGCTGAAGCGAGGGAGAGAATACGCATGTTTAAAAGTGGTGTTACCGATGTAGAAGATGTTGATGACGCTGAGAGGGATGAAGATTCCGAAAGCGATGTCGCAGATGATCCAGAGGTTGATTTGAATCTTAAAAAGGTAGATCCTGATGCTGTGGAGATAGAAAACTTAGCCGGTGTCGAACCTGTGTTGGAAAATGGGAAATTGGAAACAGTTACCATGAAAACCGAACAGGTACTGCCTCTTAAAGATGAGAAAAGAGATGATAGTTTAGCAAATGAAGCTCTAGAGGATCCGGTTGCCAACGATGAGGACAATGCTTGTTTTGATGAAAGTAAACTTGGGGAACAGTGGGTTCAAGGACTTGTGGAAGGAGACTACTCGAATCTCAGCGTCCAGGAGCGTTTAAATGCACTTGTTGCTCTCATTGGTATCGCCATCGAAGGAAACACAATCCGGATCGCCCTTGAGGTATTTACTACTACTAATACTAGAATAATTCTTAAACTTGTGCATTGTCTTCAGTCTTTGACCATAACCAGGTTCTTGTGTGTGTTGTTTGCAGGAACGTTTGGAAGTTGCGAGTGCGTTAAAGAAACAAATGTGGGGTGAAGTACAACTCGACAAACGATGGAAAGAAGAGTCTTTGATTCGAGCCAACTACCTTTCATACCCAACGCCAAAGCCGGGGCTGCTTAATAACGCAACCGCTGCATCAGGAAACCAAGAAAGCTCATCAGCTGATGTGACTCCAATCTCCTCACAGGACCCATTGAGTCTTCCACAGATCGATGTGAACACAGGACCAAGCTTGCCATCGCAAGAAAATGTATCTGGAATGGAGAGTTTGCAGTATCAGCAGGGTTACACAGCGGACAGGGAAAGGCTCCGTGCACAGTTAAAAGCGTATGTTGGATATAAAGCAGAAGAGCTATATGTATATAGATCACTTCCACTGGGTCAAGATCGAAGGCGTAACCGTTACTGGCGGTTTTCGGCGTCTGCATCTCGGAACGATCCCGGTTGTGGAAGGATATTTGTTGAACTTCAGGATGGTCGATGGAGGCTCATTGATTCCGAAGAGGTATATACAAAGAAGCTTAAAATGTGAACATTTGTCGATAACAATCATTGAAGTTTCTTTGGTTCTTGGTTTTTTTTCAGGGTTTTGACTATTTGGTGAAGTCACTAGATGTTCGAGGTGTACGAGAGTCACATCTACACTTCATGTTGCTGAAGATCGAAGCATCTTTCAAGGATGCAGTGAGGAGGAATGTGGATTGTTCCATATCTTCTAGCTTAGATTCCGATACTGAAGAGATCTCCACGACGTTTAAGATGGAGCTAGGGGATCATCATAACGCCATGGCGAGATTCCGGAGCTTTGAGAAGTGGATGTGGGATAACACGCTGCATCCTGGTGCATTATCTGCGTTTAAGTACGGAGCCAAGACAAGCGGTCCGCTTTTACGCATTTGCAGAATCTGTGCGGAGTTGAACTTTGTTGAGGATGTTTGTTGTCCGAGTTGTGGTCAGATGCATGGTGGTTCGAATGTTGGTGAGCTGTGTTTTGCTGAACAAGTGGCTCAGCTCGGTGATAACTCGAAAGGAGGAGATCCTTTGTTTATCTTGCGTGGCTCGGTCTCGTCTCCTCTGAGAATAAGACTGCTCAAGATTCAATTAGCACTTATCGAAGTGAGTTTTTTCTCTCTATACTTTTTCCATCATCCCAACTTAGAAATATGCACTAATGTGAGATTTCTTCTTCTACCGTGGACAGGCTTCTCTTCCACCAGAAGGACTTCAAGCTTTTTGGACCGAGAATCTAAGAAAGTCATGGGGTCTGAAGCTGTTGTCATCAAGTTCCCCTGAAGAACTTCATCAGGTTCGTGTTTCCAAATATCCTCCATTGATTCAAATTTTATCTTCTCTTGACAATTCTGATCCGCCTGTTTCAGGTTCTCACAGCTTTAGAGGTAGCACTAAAGAGAGACTTCCTGTCTTCAAACTTCGAAACAGCTTCAGAACTCTTGGGTTTACCGGAGGAATCTCTCGCCAGCGATCTCTCTTGTTCCGGTAATGTACTACCGTGGGTACCAAAGACAACGGGAGTGTAGCTTTGAGACTCTTTGAACTCGACAGCTTCAATGTTACACCACCTGATCAAAACACGATCTCAAAAGACAAAGAATCCCAAGAATTTCGTCGTAAGTATATACTAAACAACGAATGCTTATAGTTTTTCTTGAATATTTCAAGCACTGAAAGTTTTCTTGTTCACAAGGATTTGGAGACGAAGTTTCTGAGTAATGTCCAAGAAAACGATGCAATGGAGACGACTCCGGTGCAAGTTGCTTACACGCACGAAGAGAACTGGACAGAGCCTGGTGTCTCTAGCTCTGGTCGAGGTCGACCACCACGAGGACGTGGCCGGCCTCGTTCCCGTGGCAAGAAACCGTCGTTGGCTTCTTCTTCTGGTAGACCACCAAGAGGTGGAGCAAATTCAAATGGTGAAACAATGTTGAGACCAAGAGCTCAACCTCGCGGCGGGGGTAGAAAGAACGGACGGCGGAGCAGCACCAGAAGCCGGTTGAGACCGACAAAAGGAACGCTCGGTATATCTAATGAAGGAGGAGGAGGAGGAGGAGGAAGACGAGCTAAAGAAGTTGTTGTAACCACCAAGAACGCTTTTCCTGATAATGATGATTGGATTGAGACGCCTGAATTGCAGGAGGATGATGATGGAGAAGCTAGCAGCTCGGGGAGGTCGTTTCAGTATAAGGAGGACTATGACGATGTCATGGCTCCATTTGATGGGGAATCAAGTAAATTAGTAGGTAGGGGTGAGTTTAGTTTACATAGTGATGATGAATACGAAGAAGAAGATGAAGAAGAAGAAGAAGATATGAAAATGGAAGTGAATGTTGATGATGAAGATGAAGATTATGTAAACGAGGATTTTGATGGTAGAGAGCAGCCGGAGATTAGTATTGATGCAGCTCGGAAAAGGTTTCCTTTCGAAGATCCTGATCTAACATCTTCATCTTCTTCCGATTTTCAGTGACTGATTATTAGAACAGAAACAAAACGCTGAATTTAACAGTTCACATTTTTATTAACCCTTTTTTTTTTTTTAATTAAGGTGGCATCAATTGTGATCTTTTTATCTCTTCAAACACTGATTTTGCTGTCTGATTCGAGGTTAATCGCTAAACACAATGGAGAGGAAATGATCCGTTCGGTTCGGTCGCAGGGTTGACCAGCAAAACTTAATAAGTAAATACCAACTCTAAATCAGCATAAATCAGCTTACAATATCTCAAAATCTTGAATTGAGTTGATTTGGTTTACCGCAAAAATTTTATCTGTGGACTGGTTTTATTCAGTTATTCGGTTTTTTTACGCCTAAGGCTAAGGTTGTATTCAGTTTTTGTGTTTTCGGTAGATTTGCATAGATCTCAAAGTTTTGATTAATTCGAGATTTTTACACTAAACGAATAATTTTTGATTTTTCTTAGTTGTTCGAAAATTTTCAAAAATCAACAGATTATTATTCTATCTATTAAAGTTTCGGCTACGCCATTTAGTATCAGAGATATCATTTTAATTTCTTACTCAAAGTTCGATGCTGTTTTCATGCACCATATTACTAGAAAGTTTCTATTATTATGCAAATACATATCTATTTGTTTCATCAAAAGATTAGTGCGAAGAGTTCAGAGATACTTATATCAATTTTCTTTTATGGACCAGTATTTCTTTCAAATATGGGGTATGACACTATAAAACCGAGCTGTGAAATATATGTACCCATCATGGTAGTTAACTAGTTGCTATTGTGATTGTAAAATTTGTAACTTTGTTACATTATTGTTGGTGGTGTTGTGTTGCCTTGTAAGTAAAAGAAAAAAGAAAAAAAAAAAAAACAGACAGTTTGGATCTGTAAAGAGAGATAGAGAGTGGGACTGAGAACGACGTCGTGCATATGTCTCTCTATGGAACTTCGAGACAAAGAACTGCTCGCCTCATGACACAGAAGAAAGACAAAACCTTCTTCTCCACATATCACACCTTCTCTTTGATTTTTTAATAATAGAAATATCATCTCAATCATACAACGGAAACATCTATTTTAATCATAGATATGATTTTTTTTTTAAAGATTCTTGCAATTTAAGAAGGTGTCTTATATATAATTTAGGACCTTTTCTTAATCATTGAAAGACAAATTTAAACTTTTTTCTTTTCGTATTGTCTGATTTTTGATAGAAGAAAAAAATTATGGTACTTTTGACGCAAAGCTAGAAAGGGTATTACCTGGTACAATGCATTTGAGATGGTTGTAACTTGTAAAATCGACCTGACTAGTTAAAGAAACTATGATCAGAGAGGAAATGGACAATTTCAGAATTATTTTATCTGACATGTTTTCTTCACGTATTTGATATAAAATTGTACCAATGTTTTGAACAAATCTAGCATAAAGTTTTTTTTCCCCTGTATAAATATAGCAATATATTTTGCATCTTTTAAAATGTCCGTCCACTATCTCTAATAAGTACATCTACGAAAATATTGTTCTGGCAATATCAGATTCCTGAATTTGCAGATAGTTTTTCGAGATTCAAAAATACCAAAAAGAATTATTAAAAAAAAACTCTAGTGTTGATGAATCCATTAAAAAAATAGGAGATTGCGAAAGATAACCGGTTGGAAACAATGAAACAAGTACGGATTGCATAAAAGAAACAAAATTGATAAGATAAATTGATTAAAGTCCATAATCCTTATGTCAAATTAATTGTTTTACTCCACGGTGATTTGTGTGGTCTAATTTCTTTTCTATTTATATATTTTTGAACATTTCATTGCTTTTCTATTATTTTTCTTTTTGGCTAAAGATTTTCTTTTCTATTATTGCTTTACTATAAACAAGGACCCGAGCTACGAAATAACATTTAAAATTTTTCTATTCATCATTTCAAAGTAGTTTAAATTCGTTAATATATATTCTTTAATTTCTTGTTTGTTAAAAACGTATATATTCTTTCTTTTTCGTTAATATTCTTTGGATAGCACAAAATACGAATTGATTGATCGAGTCTGATGTTCATTTTTTTTTTCAAAATACAATCTTCTGATCTAAGATCTTAAGAGCATCTCCAACTCATTACTCCATTTTTACTTTATAAATGGAGTAACTCCATAATGGAATTGGTTTCTCTCCAACCCTACTCTATTTTTACTTCATAAAGAATATTTTAAGTATATTTTTTTTCTACTTAATTTATAAATTATTTACAGATATACCCTTTTATTTATCAAACTTATGAATTGAATTCAATAACTTTATTTTAGTGATTTATTTTCAATAAAATGAAAATTGTTATTTTAATTTAAGAAATTTTTATAAATAAATATATTACATTACACAACATAATAAAAACAATAATAACTTAAGAAGATAACATAATTTAATTTAATTATCATCATTAGTATATTTTTCTCACAAATAATCAATTAATGCATTTCAAAGTGAAAAATGAGCTTCTTTATCTTTGATTTCTCTATATCGAGCAAGAAACTCTTGGAATCGAATATTATCATCTTCTGCCAATTGAATCTCTGGAGGTTAAGCTTCTATTCTAACTTCAATCGGAGCATCAAGATAACGTTCATCTTCGATTATTATGTTATGTAAAATTACATATGTAGTCATTATATCATGTAGCACATTCTTTTGCCAAAAACAAACTGGACCTTTCACAATAGCAAAACGCGATTGCAAAACTCCAAATGCACATTCTACATATTTCCTACATGCTTCTTGTTGTGTAGCAAAATATTTTTATTGTTGTGTAATAAAATTTATATGTAAAAAATAATAAAGCTTTTGTTTAAGATTTATCTGATAACATATAATAGATGAGGGATCAAATTATAAATAAAAAAATGTCCACTTAAAAATGGAGGTGATGAATAGTGTCACTCCATATATAGAGGCGCACTGTTCATATCTCTATTTTAGAAATGGAAATAGAATAGGGTTGGAGAGGATTTTACTCCAAAATAGAGTTTGGAGGTGGAAATGGAGTAGAATTAGAGGTGGAAATGGAGTAGAATTAGAGATGGAAATGGAGTAGAATTAGAGATGGTTTAAGTGCTCTTTACTTCATTTCGATTTAAATGTTCCAAACAAGTCACAGTCAATGAGTCTGACATTTAAAAAAATAACGTGGAGGATGCCAAATTCGACCAATCGCAGAGTTACCACTATTACAACGATTTTAATCTGTCGTTTAAGAACAATGAGGTAAAACATAAATAATATCAAAGAATGCCAATAATATGCATTCTTGAACAACCGAGAAAACGGAAGAAAATGCAAATACTTTTGGTCCATAATCTCTTTCAATATTCAGATTTAACCTATAGATATTTCTATTTAAAGAATAACCCTCCGTCCCAAAAAGAGTTTGAACCAGGGCACAAAAGAAATGCAAACACTTCCTCTAAGACTAAGACGAAAACTGTTGATATGTCATGAATAGTATCGTGAATTGCTTACGGTAACATGGGATCAATGGTATGTGGGTGTTCTTATATTGGACACTTTAATAATTAATTTTATTGGGTCTAGTGTTACGCTCAAAGTCAGTTTAGGGTTAACATATATTCTTTTTCGTTCTCCATTCTCTCTATTGTATATTGAAGTCCTATTTTCTGCCTCCAATAATAAAATCAGTCTTATTTGTCTATAAACATAATGATGCGGTCAAGCATTAGAGCGTAAAAAAAGCTAAGAGTTGTGTTCAATTAGACGATGTAGTAGCTAGACGTTATTATAAACAAAAGTGTGACATGGCTGTAATGCGAGCTCGATAGTTTTAAATATTCCCTTAAATGTTTTGAAGAAATGATAAACTTAAAGAGGAACCTCAATATATACGAAATTGTGTAAAAATTCTAAGTCCAGAGTTTATGCCTGTGGATATAAATATGTTCTAAAGGTTAAGGAGGAGTCACTGGACACACTTAGAAGTCAGAGCCAAATCGAGAAAGATTTAGGTTTTTTTTTAGAAAGAGAGTAAGATTTAGGTTTTGAAGCGTTTTAGTCTTAAAGCTGAGACAAAATGTTCGCTGATTCCAAAAAAATTATGTAAGTGAGATTCTAAGATTATAAATATGAACAAAATGGTCGGTGTCCATTTAAAGTCTATTTCAGAATTGAGTAACTCGAGTCACAGACTAGAAATTGGTCGAGGATAATTTCTAGTATGTTTTGGAGTTGTGTAACTCCGATCAAATCAAATATAGCTTATATAAAGTGAACTTGAATAACTTTTAGCGGATAAAATATTGTACTTAGTGATGTGCAACTTATAAAAAGAATGTTAGTTACATTTAAAGTTACCCATTCACTCCATTATACACCCGCTTACGTCCGTTCACCATCCACAAAAACAAAAATCTAAATAATTAAAGATGTTTTATATGTGAGACAAAAAGCAAAAAAGAAAAGGAAAAAAACACCAACTATGATACCCCTCTTAGATTTTAAATAACTTTAAGAAATAAGGATACTATAAGAATTAAAATATCTGTAAGGTTGCCATTATAGTTATCTTTCGAATTTCCAAAAACACATGTACGACGATTTATACATTTCTGTGAAAATGTCATTTCATTCATGAAAATGATATTCAATCTTTATTGATAGAAGTAAAACTAAATGCCAAAAAATGGTACAACTCATGTCGCTCACTAATTATGCATCAGTGTAATTTGATTTGACGGACATTAAATTTTTGTACCTCCATAATCCTCATCATTATTACATCAATGTGTCGTAAGAAGAAAATTTCATGTTTACTTTTCTATCATTATCTGTTATGTTTTCGGGTAAAACAAAAATTGCTCTACTTCTTAAAAAGTCTTGATAGGCTTGTTTTATTTTAGATAAAGCAGTAGATTTTTGTTTTCGAAGATAAAGCAGTAGATATATGACATTATTCAAACTAAATGCGAACTAAATACGCATTTAAAGATATTTTTTTCTTGAACATCTTCATACATTTAAAGATGTTACATGCATGTAGAAGAATTTTGAAATTTTGATGCTGCATGTTGTCAACGAAAAACTTTCAATGGTAACTGTAAAATCATTTATAATCGATAAAGAATTTCTACAATTTGTAGATCTTTTTTCTACGATCTTCGATTAACTCAAGTATTATATTTGCTCCAAAGTTTGAAGTCCAGTTATAAGACTATTCTCCCTTCAAATCATGTATTATCTCTTATTAATTAACCTATTGGTATTAACACGTTTATAAATGTTCCTGAGTAAAGAAAAGGCTTCAATTATTATTTGAACAACAAAAAAAAGGCTTCAATTATTACAACGCTCTACATATGATTTGTTTTTGGTGTCTGCCCTTTTGTGAAACATTTTCTTTTTGGTGTGAAGTTGTCAAATTTTGGTTGCTTTGTTCTCCTCTCTTTTTCCCTCTTCTGACTCTTGCCTTCCTTTTCTGAATATGTCTATCAACCAATTTAATTAGTACTAGACTACTAGCAATATAATAATAATTCATATTTGCTAGGAATGGTATTTTTTTGGGTGCAAAAGAATGTTTTGAACTATTAATAAGTAATGGAAGTCAATGGTTTTTCTTTTATATGTTATGTTACCTACAACCAAGTATAGTCTATTTTTAAAAATATATATATCATCGTGTTTGTTTTTAAATTTTCGAAAAATACTATTCTTATTATTCTTGAAGTTCTAGGCTCTTATGAATTTCCGGCGACAGCAACGAAAATATGGATATAACCTCTTACTATTTCGCAAGCATATATTCTGGTTCGTGGCAAATAAAAAAAAAACTTATTGAGTCCGTTTGTGAACTCCCTCATAAGTAGACCGATCCCAACGACTATATATTGACCAAACTAATATATGATTTAGATATAATTTTGTATATCATTGATCGTAATGGTATTAAGGTAACACTTTTATGTATAATTCGAAATAGTGGTAATACTATACAATTAAAATCTTCTTATTCAAGTCAACCTTTTTGATAGAATTCAATTCCCTATCCCAACAGTTATTTAATAAGACATGTAGATTGAATGAAATGGGAAGAAAAAGGAGATTAAAGGAACATTATCCAAATGTGGCTCACGAGAAGGTCAATTTCTACGCCCCCACTTGTTTCAACGTCTCGTCTCCATCATCTTTTGTCTCTTTGTTTTGTATAAATCTGTACATATCATTTCATTTTCTTATTTTATTTTAATAAATAATGTGACCTCTCTTTTTAGTTGCATTATTAATTTATTTTCATATTGCTGAATAATTCGTTTCCCCCCCCCCCCCGGTATATATGTATATTAACATTTCACAAACGAAAACGAAGCAGATGTCGTCTGGTGAAGAGTGAGAATGACATGACTTTTTCACATAATAAAATTATCAAAATAATTGGAGTCCACATAGAATAAAATAATAATTAATAAAAGAAATGGAGAAAAATATGACCAAAATCAAATTGTAGCCAACCCCGTTGCACTGCATTATTCATTTCAAATATATATAGGCACACGCACAGATGTAAAATGGAAATTAGCTTTTATAACCCAAAAAGAAAAGATGTGGTTGAGATCCCACCACAAATTTAATATATTATATTCATGAGTTGCTTATGTAAATAACAAAACTATATACTTAAAGTTACCTTTATTTTCATTCGGATAAGTGAGTTGCTTATGTAAAAACCAACCTATCCTTTATTTTTATATTTATTTATTTTGTTGTATCCATATGCAGAAATAAATAGACTTGAGCGTTATAATTAAGAACTTTTATTTAGAAAAGACAATGGTAAATAGCCACGTAATAAGTGTACAAAGGAGACTAGGAGTAGTAATTTTTCTCTTTATTCTTGGCATCTACTAAATATTGGTCATTTAGTCTTTGAATGTAGCCAAGTGAGTTAATGAGTTTAATGCCACGAAATACACATTCACGCATTAAACATAAAAGTACACAAAAACATCATTTTTTTTTACGTTACACAAAACATCATTAATGAAAAATAACGTTACTAAGTCAGTAACGCCGCGTCGCATCATTATTTATTTAAGAACTGTTTAAGCCATAAAAGTTAACTTATTGCATTTACACACACACACACATGTTTGGCGAGATGCCCTTTTAGGCTTTTAATGAGTTATTGAAATTTATTGTTATGGTTACTACTACTACGACAAATATTATGGTTACTAATATGACAAATATTTGTGTGTATGTCCTTAAACAAAAAAACTTTGTACGTTGCCAATACTTGCCATTGTCGTTACTAACTATAATAATTTTTACTCCCTGATATTTTTAAATTTCTTTTTATCTTATTTTTTGAAAATTTATAGGCAAAACTTAAATTTTATTTCTATTATGAAAATTTACATTCTACTTTGTCTTTTATTTTATTGGCTCGATTTTTTTAGTCAAGTATTAAAACAATACATTTTCATGAAAATGTCAAAAATTATTTATGACTTCTTAATCCCAGTGATTTTAGTTTATTTAAAAAAAAAACATAACATTTAAAATAATTTCATATCCTAAGATATTTAGTTATTTACTAATTTAAGACATCTACAATAGTTATCAATATTGTTACCATCAAATTTGATTAATGCATTGCTGCTTCTACATTAGCACCATATACACTATATATGAAACATGACAGCTAAATGTTTAATCCGTTAATATGGTGAATTATATGATTGTCATAAATTTAGAGTAGTTAGCACAATAATCTTCTTAAATCAAATCTTAAATTTAATATTTTAAACAAATTCTCGGCATATGGAAATGTTTTTTTTTGTTAAAATTGTTTATGGTTTCGACAAGTTCGGTCCAAAAGATAAACAAGATAAACGGTTGTTTGAGGCCCAAAAATTTAAACGTAAATTTTAAGATAAACATGTATTTTTACGTTAATAAAAAGCCTAATTTTAATTATACGTAAGGCCCAACTCGATTTTCATTTTTAAATAATATTGGATCGAACTTGGACCGAGTTTGGATTTCGGAAAACTTTTATGATTTCTGTTTAACGAGTAATCTGAATGTTTGCGATAAATTTTTTAATATTTGAGTAGTGTTTTCATCTATAATATTTTTTTCATCTACAGTATCATTGTAACTTATATTTATAAAGAAATTTATAAATATAAATTAAAGAAATTTCATAATATTTTTAAAGAAATATTTATAAAAATGGACATAACGTAATTTCCTAATCTTTTAATGGAAAAAAACTATTATACTTTGAATTTATATTTTCTTTTTATGTCAGTCATATCTCTCAACCACAGCTTTGCTCATGTCAGTCCCACCAACACATATACATGGCATATAAAGATTTTAATAAACCTTGGAACTATCTATATCTATACAGACACTCACACACACGTCTATGTATATCTATATATATATATATATATAGACACATAATACTACTTCACTGTGTGTCATTCTTGTTTTCTCTAAATTTTCGAATCTTGATTTTTTTTTCCATTTTCACCATTCGATGTTAACTGTGTCTCCCCTCGTCGTAAACAACACCACCTCAAAGGACGATCACATGGCGGCTGATTTTGCAGATTTTACGACGGAAGACTTGCCGGACTTCAAGACGGTCGGAGATTTCTCCGACGACGGTAGTCTCGATTTTCTTGAAGGGATCGATTACTACGACGACCTTTTCATTGGATTCGATGGAGACGATGTTTTGCCGGATTTGGAGATTCTCGGGGAACATTCCGGCGGCAGCGGAAGAGATGAAGAACAAGAAATGGAGGGAAACACTTCGACGGCGTCGGAGACATCGGAGAGAGACGGTGGGGAGTTTAAGCCTCAAGGTGGTGCTGGTGGTGATACGGACAAAACGGTGCGTAGAGGCAAACGTAAAGGGAAGAAAAATAAAGATTGTTTATCAGCTAATAACGAGATTAAGAAGAAAACCAAGGTTTGTTTCTATCTATATATTTTTCCTAATTAACCATATTAAATCACCTTTTTCCTTTTGAAAAAATACTAAATTTTTACCTTTTTCTTAATAGTATTCCATTGATTTGATTTAATGCCATAAACTTTTGGGTATTTTAGAGGATTTTATAATATGGGTTTGTTCAACATTTTTTTCACAATACATCGTAAATGTATGTTTTGAATTCCTCTAGATTTTTTTTTTTATAAAAAAAACATATATTTATGAAACAGTTTAATTTTATAGCAGCAAAATCTTAATCTTAAAACTATCTGATTTTAAGATAAAATTTTATGTTTTTCGCATAAGACAGATCGATCATCTAGTTTGTCGATTTTAGATAAAAAAATTATTCTATATTAAACAATTTAATATCCTAACAGCAAAAACTTTAATTTTTAAGATTAATTTTTATGTTTTCGGCACATGGCAGATTAATCATCTAATTTGTTGTAAGTAAATAAATAATTTTGTTTTTTATATAATAATCAATCTAAACAATTTGTGTTTCTTGCTACCGGTAAATCAGGTGGACTGGACGCCGGATTTACACCGGAAATTCGTACAAGCGGTGGAGCAATTAGGGGTAGACAAGGCTGTGCCATCTCGGATTTTGGAAATTATGAATGTTAAATCTCTCACTCGTCACAATGTCGCTAGCCATCTCCAGGTATTTCACCATCTAAAAATCTATTGACTAAATTTTACATCTACTAACCTGTAATAACTATATTCTTAACCAATCAGAATTTATGGTATTATTAGTTATTAAAAAAAACAATTTAAAATACACACGAACTCAGATCCGTTTCATGAGATTAATTTTGTGGGTTTCTCTTGTAATGGTAGAAATATAGGTCACACCGGAAGCATTTACTAGCGCGTGAAGCAGAAGCTGCCAGCTGGAATCTCCGACGACATGCCACCGTGGCAGTTGCCGGAGGAGGAGGAGGGAAGAAGCCGTGGATGGCTCCTGCTTTAGGCTATCCACCGCACGTGACACCATTGCATCACGGCCACTTCAGGCCTTTGCACGTGTGGGGTCATCCTACGTGGCCTAAACACAAGCCTAACATTCCACCGACTACTCATCGGACGTTTCCGATTCCGGCCGTTGCGGCGGTGGCTCCGTCGTCTTGGCCAGCTCATCCACCATATTGGCACCAACAGCCACTCTATCCACAGGTAAAATTCATTTCTAAAATGTTTTATTGATTTTGATTGGTTACACGGTTAAAATTATGATAATTGAAAAACAATGATTACAAAATTTATAACGAAACGACAAAATTATTAAATGAAAAACATAACCATATTTTACCATTCTAAACATGCACAAATTTGAGAAATGATTTCTTTATAGCAAGTCATTGGATATTTCACTATTCCTTTGATATACAAGTTAAACTAATTTTTAAGAGGATTACTAATCAGATTAAGAGCTATAAGTTACTATGCATGCAACACGGACTGTATAATTAAAACTGATGTTGTATTGTTTAATTAGGGTTTAACGTGTATATATATATGTGTAGGGATATGGTATGGCATCATCATCGAATCATTCGATGTATAATATTAAATCAGAAACAAGCATTGGTGTTCCTACAAGACCATTAGGCCCTACTAATCCTCCTCTCGACATTCATCCCGTGAGTGTACCTTTAGTTTGTTTGAATTTTCTTTTGTTTTATCTTTGATTATGAGATAATCCAAAAAAGTTTGTTTAATTTTGATAACCTTATCCTATTAATTGTGTTTGACTTTGACGGTGCAGTCTAACGAGAGCATAGACGCCGCTATTGGAGACGTGATAACAAAGCCGTGGCTACCGCTTCCTCTGGGACTCAAACCGCCATCAGTTGACGGCGTCATGACGGAGTTACAACGTCAAGGCGTTCCTAATGTTCCTCCTCGTCCTTGAGAGAGACAAAATTCGTCGAAATTGCATTTGTTAACATCTTTCTTTTTTTGGTCTCTTTAATTTATAAGTATTTTTGCAAGGAAGATGATAAATCCTTGTTGATTGATCATATGTATTTCTTACTCCAAGGAGTATATATGAAGTACATGTATCGAAGTTAAGCAAGTTGGTCGTATTAGTCTCTTTTTTAAAAAAAAAAAGTATTATCTCTTTTTTTTTTTCTTTTAAACATTGAGTTTTTTATTGTTTTTAACAAGTTTTAAACATGAAGTTTCGGACAGAAACCCATTTGTATATATTCCTAGTTAGATCTAATTTGTCAAATCAATGCAAAGTGAAAGATTAATTACTTGTTCGATAAAATAGTTTAAAGATTTTTTTAGACAATATGGATAAGTGTGGAAAATTTTATTTTCACCTTTTGCACCTATCTATAACGAAATTATATACTTCAGAATATAACAATTTGTCTACATATTCAAGAAGGCATTCAAGATTATACAATCCTCAACATCCTAAACGGAGAGCCAGATTGATACATTTTATTTGGCTAGTGTTATGGTGGGCCTTCAAATAGGCTCTTTTGGCCCAAAAGTCTCGAAATGATATTTCAGTTGATCAATGAGAAAAAGTTAGTTACACGAGGATATGACATTTGATGAAACCAACTCAAAGTGTTGTAATGAAAAATCTAGCAAACCCCAAATTAAGTTCAGACTCATAAAACTAAAGATTACATTGATCCTTCAACAACATTTGCAACTTCAAAATCAAGATCTTCTCTTCCGATCATCTTCACCGTCATCGTCTGAGTCACCGCTCTCACGGAATCGTGGGTTCTTCTCCTGTTAAATTCACACAAAGCAGGCAATGTCCCAAGCATCACATCAGTAACATACCAAAATTCACTCAAAAAGTTTATTTGCGAGAATGAATAATCTCTTTTAATTAATACCGGTCTCATGTCATGATCAGTCTCTCTCCTAGACTCCTGATCTGAGTTTCTTCTCGAGTTCTCACGTCCATAACGATCATCGTCTCTTTGCCGTTTCCGATGGTAATCTGCAAAAAAACATTAAAAACTTCAAATGGGTTTTAAGTTATGCTTGTGGCTGATGATTTGCAATTTTACTATCCATTATGTTAATTTAGTAACATATATACCTCCTCCTCCTCTTCCATGGCGATTTCCTCCTTGGCCATAGCCTCCTCCACCACCACGCCTTCCATCTGCATGATTGATTTAACCATTTAGGAAGATGGAAGTATCTCCAAAGTAATAAATTATATGCAGACTCTACTATCAAGTTCTCACACGATGAACTTCCATTAGCTCCTTAGGTTAGGATTTATGATTATAACTATCTATGACAAAGGTAACCCGTAAAAGGACAAGAAGATGTCTTCTTCTGGGCAATACAATGCTAATCTTAGAACTAGCGTTTCATGGTGGTACTCCCACATGTTGACCATACACAGTTCAGTGCAAAAACATGTAACCAGGAACAAATCATGTAGATCAGATAGAAAGTTGAAAGAACTTACAATTCGATTGCGCAGCAGCAGGATATGCTCCCAATGAGCCAGTACCGTAATCTACGAGCTGCCTTTGTGCTTCGAGCTCCTTCTGAACTAATTTTCCATAACCACCTCTAGGTATCAATGAGTTAAAGAAAAAAAAAAGGATAGATAAACCGAGCAATCAAACCTCAAAGCCAGATCCCAACTGGTTTGTGTCTATAATAAGCATGCATAATAAACAAGAACTATTAAGCACAACAAAAGCGGATTGAAAGGATATCAGGATCGTAATCAGTACGATATTCATCTCGAACCTGTATGAAATTAGAAAAACATAGTTACAACAAATAATGTATACACAAAGGGTCAGAAAATTACAGAAGAAGATGCATTTGATGAATACCTGGCCACCGCTTCTACCACGTCCCCATTGTCTTCCTTCTTGGAATCCCCAATCAAAATCAACACGAATAGGCCGGTCATCAAGAATAGTCCCACTTATATATTTCACTGCATCCTCTGTGTCCTCTCTCGAGTAGAACCTGATAACAAGACACACACACAAGCAAAATCACCAACCTATCATCATGAAAACTTACAGGTGAAACTGGTTAAAAAGACCCTTTGAAAATGGAAACTTACAGGACGAAACAGAAACCACAGGGTGTTTTTGTGTTCTTATCCAACCCCATGATGATCTTTTTGATCTCTCCTGCTCTGGAGAAAAGCTCGTAAATCTGTTCCTCGGTTGTGTAGAAAGACACATTTCCAATGTAAACCGTCGAAGAAGTCCTTAGCGCCTCGTCGAACTCCTCTTGTGTTCCTGAGAATCTTCTATCTCGATAAGCCGAGAGCTTTGCTTGCTCCTGGTATCAACAAATATGAAATTGACAAAACTCAATCCCTAAATATGCAAGTTCAGCTAAAAGCAAGTCAAATATCCTTCTTCAAATGCGAGAAAACATTCAATTTCTCCAAATCAATTTAGTCGATTTAGGGTTTCATCACTCATCATTATGTTAACAATCGCTTCAACTCATACACTCAATTCACTGAAAAATTAACTGCCGTGACCAATCTCGAGTTTCCAAGCTATCATAAGCAAAACCCAGAAATGCGTTCACCGGAATTCACCAAACAAGATAAAATCTAAACTTGTGTACCTTGAACAAAGAAGCCATCGCCTTTCGATAAGAAAGGAGTGAATCTGCGATAACGAAAGAGGATAAAGCCCATAAATTAGGGTTTAAATTTGGATTTGGGGGAACGAAACAAGAGGAAACGAACAAGAGCGAAACAGAAATTACCAAGATGAGGGAAAATCGAGACGGAGAGACTCTTGCTCTTCTTCCTCTTCCAAAACCCTAATTTCTAATGGAAAAGCAGAAAACTGATAGAAGCGGGATACACCGGCGACTCGAGTTCGAGTCTGGTAACATGGCACACGGAACCTTTTTACAACTTCATATTTTAGTAAGTTGATTATAAAATTTTAATCGATAATATTTTGTTTAATTGGTGTTAATTAAATTTGTATAACTTTTTTTCCCAAATATTAATCATTTCAAATATTGACAAAAAATGTATGCATCTATTATGTAATTTAGAAAAACATCTCGCTCTAAAAAAAATTCATCATTTTGGTTTTTGATTAGTTTCTGATTATCTTTTTTTTTTCCTGAAGTTATTCAGATGTTTAGTTCAGAAATATTCGGATATAGTTTATAAATAATTAAAAATAATTGTTTGTTATCATCAAACCATGTTACGGTTGCCATTGATTGCTCGATTCCTATCATGAGATAGTAATTCTCTAGTCCTCTTTTATGGACTGTAAGATCGATTATGGTTGTGAATCTTGATGATGGAAATTTTAGATGACACATCCATTTGTAGATGATTTATTGTTAGCCAATCTCTACTAGAAAAACAAACATTTGTGTTTTTTCAAACACTATTTTATTATTTTATTATAAATTATGAAAACTATTATAGCAATAATTTTACAACGGATAATTCTCCTGCTTGTATACACGCCAACGGATTTCTATACATCATGTTAAAAACTTTCTATAAGTTTATCTCCATTAATCTGTGAAAGATGGTGAATTCCCCGTCCGGTTTCATGTTGTATTCACAAGGCTATATAAAGCCAAAACTGTTCCTAAATATCAGGGATTACAAAACGAGATTCCAAAAGAGATCTCAGCCTAAAATATCTGAACAACATTTACAAAATAAAAAAAGTAGTATCAACATTGATCATATAAAGGAGGGCTCCTTTATCTATTTATTTATTATTAGTTACGATTATTCGAATAAAGACGTTGGTAATCCCTTCGTAAAAATGTCTGCATATTGCAGGCTAGATGGAACATGTAAAACCTTAACTTCCCCAATAGCGACTTTTTCACGAACAAAATGTATATCCAGTTCAATATGCTTTGTGCGTTGATGTTTAACTGGATTGGTGGCGAGGTAAACTGAACTTATGTTGTCGCAGTAGACCAAAGAAGCTTTGTGGATGTTGAAGTGTAGTTCTAGCATCAGATTACGTAACCAACAGAGTTCTGCAACTGTGTTTGCCACGCCCTTGTACTCTGCCTCCGAGCTCGAACGAGAAACTGTTTGCTGACGCTTTGCAGACCAGGAAATTAGATTATTACCCAGATAAACACAATAACCAGATGTTGAACGTCGCGTGTCCGGACATCCAGCCCAGTCGGCGTCCGAATATGCTGTTAGCTGATCGATTGGACCTTTAGTCAACTGTAAACCATGCAATGCTGTTCCTTTAATGTATCTGATGATCCGCTTGAGGGCTTGAAGGTGAGGTTGTCGAGGATCATGCATATACAGACATATCTGATGAACAGCATACGAGATGTCTGGTCTAGTGAAGGTCAAATATTGCAGAGCTCCAGCAAGCTGTCGATAAGCCTTGGGATCGTCAACAGGCTTCCCTGCATCCGCCGATTGCTTGGATTTTAAATCCACCGGTGTCGAACATGGATTGCAGTTAGCCATTCCCGCGCGATCAAGTATTTCCTTTGCGTACGAAGCCTGGCTGAGGAACATACCTTGAGCATTGTACTCAACTTTTATTCCAAGGAAGTGATGGAGCTTCCCCATGTCTGTCATTGGGAATTCTTCTTTGAGCTTAGCGATGATCTGATGAAGAAGACTCATTGAAGAAGCTGTTAAGATTATATCGTCGACATAAAGGAGTATGTAAGCCAGATCACGATTTCTTTTGAAAACAAAAAGAGAGGCATCAGCTCTGCTGCGCAGAAATCCAATTTGACTTAGAAATTTAGCAAACCGTGAATCCCAAGCCCTTGGTGCTTGTTTAAGGCCATAGATGGCTTTGCGTAATTTGCAGACATGATTGGGAAATTGTGGATCCACAAAGCCAGGTGCCTGATGCATATAAACAGTTTCTTCAAGATCTCCCTGCAAAAAGGCATTTTTCACATCAAGCTGATGGATCGGCCAATTGAGAGCTACCCTAATGTTTAGAACAGTGCGAATAGTCGCAGGCTTGACTACTGGGCTGAACGTCTCGGTAAAGTCGATGCCTGCTTCCTGCGATTTGCCATTTGCAACTAATCGGGCCTTGTGGCGTGTTAGAGCTCCATCTGCATCATACTTATGTTTGAACAACCACATAGAGTTAACAATATTGACCCCTGGAGGTCGAGGTACAAGATCCCAAGTTCTAGTTTCAATCATGGCACCATGTTCATCAGTCATCGCTGGTGTCCAATTTGGATCAGAAAGGGCTTGTTTATAGCTTTTTGGAAGTGGGGATTTTTTGGTGAGTAGAGAAATGATTGTTTTTGGTTTGTGGATACCAGACTTGGCTCGAGTCGTCATTGCGTGACGAGGAGCGGGAAGAATTTGTGTTGGTGGGTTAGTTTGTATGGGTGGTGGTGTTGGTGTGGGGCTCGAAATTGGTGTTTGAAGAATGGTTTGAAAAATGGGAGCTGGTTCATCGTGGTCCAGAAATTTGTAAGGAGTATGTGGATTTTGGTGCTTTTGAGCAGCTGCTTTTTCAATTCTGTGCGATCTCTGCTTTTTCAAGCTCAGCTCTCGCCATGTTATTGGGTTGAAGCTCTCCATGTCGCCGTTCATCTCTTGAACATTTTACCATCCTCTGCAATTCAAAATCAGATCCCATACACTTTGCTTTTCAAGAAATATCCAAAATACGATCATTTGCGAGTCTTTGGCTGTCTATGCTTTCCCAATCTCAATAACTCTTCTCTCCACAAATTATCACCAAGATCCACACCCTGTCTCTTTCTAGGTTATCCTTTACAGCACCGAGGGTACAGATGCCTTGACTTAAGAACCAATAAGATCATCATATCTCGCCACGTCCATTTCGATGAAGAGAAATTTCCAGCTGCTCAAAAGCACCAAAATCCACATACTCCTTACAAATTTCTGGACCACGATGAACCAGCTCCCATTTTTCAAACCATTCTTCAAACACCAATTCGAACCCGCACAAAGTGGTCGAGTCTCGCTAACGTTGCAGCTCCCACCAGGGTTCGATTCCATATTGGTACCAATTTCCGGGCATTAATTCCCGAGACATTCCGGGCACTCGAGTCCCGAGACTATTCCCAGAAACTCAAATCCATTGCTGACCTCCTCGCCAATGTCGACGCTCCAGTCACCGACAGAACTCTCGTCATGTACCTCATCAACGGTCTCAACGACAAATACGATAACATCATTAATGTTATCAAACACAAGGACCCTTTTCCAAGTTTCGATGATGCGAAAAACATGCTGGAGGGTGAAGAAACTCGACTCAAACGCCAACACAGAGCTACAGCTACTCACGCCGACCATTCCTCATCACCGTCAGCGCTTGTCGTCTCCAATCCGCAACCGTCGCCGGTTCCTAATCAACAACAAAACAGGCAGAATCAAACCCAGCGTTACAACAACTACAGAGGCAACAAGAGAAACCGTCGTGGCAGATTCAACAACCAGTTCAATCCAAACTTCCCTACATGGAATCCATCGGGCATGTGGACACCACCTTACAATTCATGGCCGAACCAGTTTCAAAACTGGAACCCATATGCTCAATCTTACCGTGGTCCAACACCACCACCCATACAAACTAACCCACCAACACAAATTCTTCCCGCTCCTCGTCACGCAATGACGACTCGAACCAAGTCTGGTATCCACAAACCAAAAACAATCATTTCTCTACTCACCGAAAAATCCCCACTTACGTTTGTGCCAAGCAGCATCATCAGCGCCAGTGGGAAGGAGGGTTTCGTCAAGATGTCCGGCGACGTCGAAAGCTAAGCAGTGTGTGAGGAAAAGCTCCCTCCACGCATCATAGTTGTGATCATCAAAGTCAAGTATGATGGGGATATGAGATTTGATATTTGTTACGCCGAAGGCGCGTTCTACTGCAGCTGGGGGAGCAGCCATTGAAAGATAACACGAGAGAAAAAGAAAAGGAAGGAGAGAACGAGGGAAAGAAGAAGAAAGAACTTAGAGAAGAGGTTAGGAGCTTATAGGCTCTGATACCATGAAAGATGGTGAATTCCCCGTCCGGTTTCATGTTGTATTCACAAGGCTATATAAAGCCAAAACTGTTCCCAAATATCAGGGATTACAAAACGAGATTCCAAAAGAGATCTCAGCCTAAAATATCTGAACAACATTTACAAAATATTTAGAGAATATCCTATATTCTTTCAATCTGCAAATTAATAATAAATTACACTTTCTAGGATTTAAAATCCAAATCTCCTGAAACATCAATAATCTTTGATCAACCATTAGGCTTTGGAGACTTCCACAACCATTATGATTTTATTAATAAAAAAATAAAAATTATGTGCTTCAAGATAGAAAATACTCCTAGAAGTAAAAAAAAAAGATAGAAAACACTCCCTCTCTTATAAAAAAGAATGTCTACGTAAAGCGAAAAACTAAAAAAATCTTAGTAAATTATAAGTATTCCTTTCTACTAAACAAGATATTAATTTAATTGACATCTATTCAACCAATAAACAAATATTATAAAATATAAATGATCAAAAATATTAAATATATATAAATTATGCATATAAATAAATAAAAAATAAAGTGAAACAAAATAAATATTTAAACATCATTGAATAAAGGATTATGAAATATCATGAAATCCATAAAAAAAAATTCAGTCATAACAAACATATTTTTTTATGTTGGAACCAAAGTCCAAAACCATATATTATCCATTCAAGAAATGATTGATCACTGAGTCCTAATTGAGAAGCCTCTAATCTCAAAACTCAAAAATATGTCAGCGGTTTTTTTTTCTGGGTGAAGGCATCAGTGGTCTAGTTCATCTCTTTGACAACAACTGCCACCTCAAATTTGATGTGCTGGAATTGGAACGAAAATAATGTTTCCATGCGT